TAATGTTAAATTACATTTATAATTGCGAATCGGTTAATTGCGAAATATCGGATAATTGCAAAATTTTTCAGGTCCCATTTATATGACAATAACGTTAATTTAATCGGATAAGTGAAAAAATAAAAAAAATTTATCGAAAAAAATTATTCATCATTTTTTTTATTTAACCTTTTCCCATTCATTCATTACCACGCCAGAAATTAATATAAAAATGGTAAAAAAATCATTTCAAACATTAACCCTGAAGCATAAAAAAGAAATAATTGATAAATTAAACACTACATCAAAAACATAATTAGCATCAAATTACAATTGCCACGTCTCGACAATCTACCGTTTAATAGAGAATAAAGAAAATATATGCTCACAATTTCTAAGGAATAAACCTCCTACAACTAAAAGAGTAAGAATGAGTTGTTACCCAAAGACAGAACCCTCTTTATTGGTTTGGTTTACCCAAATGCGAAGTAAAAATTGCAGTCTAAATGGGCCAGTGATGCTAGAAAAAGCTAAGTTTTTTAGCCAAACATTCAATGAAGGTAATTATAATATATATATATAAATTATAGGCATTCCTACTAGCAGCTGGTTGCAGAGATTTAGTATCTGATCATATAATTACAAAAAATCTGTCTCTTAATGGTCATTATACTTTTCTTGAATATGCTCATGAACATCTAAGGGATCAAGATTCACTAAGAAAGCTAGAGAATATAGTGGAAGAGTCTAGCCAAACTCTTATCATAAAATATTTTTATTAAATCTTACATTACTTTATAATAATTGTGATGCATGTATAATAAAATTAGTTCAAATAAAATCTTATGTTAACAAAGCATTAATAAACTTTCATTCCAGCATGGTCTGTTAATACATTTACATTTATAATATTAGAATTCATAAGATTTGAATAGGTACAGGATTTTAAATCAAATATCATGTGAATGAAAACAAAACACTTAATAAACTTAAATTCTTTTATATTAATCTTATTGTTTCCAGTTTTTTAAGCAAAATATTTTAAAATTTGGCTTTAATAATAAATTAGAATTTAAAAAGTGATAATATATTTGTGTAAAATTATATTTCAGTAAATTTAATGAAGGTAAAATGACAAAAGTAGTTAAAATTAATGAAAATAAATATTAGGGTATTGTAAAGGAAAAATTGTTATTATCTTCCACAAAAGCTTTTTTTTGCTTTAATTCTTACATATCTTAAATAAAAAATGAGATAAAATCAAGTAAACAAATTTAATTGAAATAATTTTATTCAATAAAAAATAATTTATTAACAACTATAATGATAATACATAAATATAATACATAAATAATTACAATCATTTTATAATTAAAAGTCTTGTTTTCTTTGTTCCTTTCTGTCTATAACCATGTCTAGATCTAAAGAAAATATAAATATATATATCAAAATATATCACATTACTTTCAAGTGCTTCAGATATTTTAATATTATTTGATTGATCTAAATTAATTGAAAACTTTTTATAAAATAATAACTTAATGAATTGACGATAAAAATATAGGATTATTGGTGGGAAGAAAAAAAAGCTATGATCATATGTTTCAACAAATAAGATAAATTTTTAAAATTTAATTTTTTTATTCGTTACATAACTTATTCAAATTAAAATATATTGTTGGTTACATTAATTAAAAATTGTATTTATTGCAAAGTTTAATGGCTTATATGATTAAAATAGATATAGATGATAAATATCTTTATAAAAAACACAAACTGATTTTTAATAAATAAATTGTTGAATTTTAATCGTATAATTGCTAAAAATCGGATAATTGCGAAATTTTTAAATATTTAAGTCCCAAGCTTTCGCAATTAAACGGTTTTGACATATTATATTATATTATGTAGTTTTCAATAACCATTATCAATTGAGGCATATATATGAATTAATTAACCTTTTTTATCATTTATAATTCTTTAGACGCAAAATTTTTTTATATCAACAATCGAAAATATTTTATATTGTAATAAATAGATTTTGTATTAAAAATATTATTTTTAGAAATGTCTTGTATTGTAATATTTAATAAATTTAAAAAAAGTATAATATATAAATATAAAACCTGGCCGAAAGCCTGCAAATTGGGGGTATGGGGGGCGAAGCCCCCATAAATTTTTTTTAATTGAGCCCCATGAGATTGTAAAGGCTAGCGACGCCCCTGGTTAGGCCTATAAATCTTTCCTTATTGGCCCATTCTATAAATTCTTGTCCAAAATGATAACAGAGAGTTATTATAGTTTCATAACCTTTTGTCAATGTAAGTTGCTAAGAATGTTGTTTTTAAAAACCATTATCAATTAAGGCATATGTATAAATTAATTAACCTTTTTTTAAGACTTGTATTCTTTAGACGCAAAATTTTTTTACATTAGAAATCGAAAATATTTTATACTGTAATAAATAAATTTTGTAATAAAAAATATTATTTTTAGAAATGTCTAGTATTGTTTTAATGATTTATATGTTAGTTAATTTTGTATGCATAATATTAATGACAAAATATGAAATCAGAATAATTTTTCAGAGTTAGCAAATTTTAAAAAATTATAATATATTATTAGGGGGTATGGGGGGCGAAGGCCCCTATAAAATTTTTTATTTGAGCCCCCAGAGATTGTAAAGGCTAGCGACGCCCCTGAATAATTGTATTTTGTTTGTAATAACTTAAAAAGTATTCATGAAAAAATATATAACACATTAATAAATAAATAGCACAAAAAATATTAGCAAGAAGCATATTATAAATTTATAATGTAAAATCCAATCTTCTTTGGGATTGGAATAATTTTTCAATTATCTCATCCGTGCTTGGCGTCAAATGCCTATGAATATTCAAAATGGCCAAACCATTCAATGTACTGTCAGATGTTGTACTTCTTAGGTATGTTTTTATTCTTCTTAGAGTAGAGAATGTTCTCTCAATAGTTGCAGTACTAATGTGAAGAGTTGCTAATATATATAATAATTTTAATACATTGGGGAAATAATCTTAAAGATGTTTGGAACGAAGCAAAGCATCCATAGCATTTGGGACTATATCAACCATAATTAATCTTTTATACCATAGTTGGCATTCAGCTAATAAGGAATCATAAAATACTTTAACTTCATGAAAAAAATCTGCAGATTGCTAAGTGCTACCTGATGATTTAAAAACTATTCATTTATTTGAATTATATAGGTATCTAAAAGAGGGATAAAGACATTTATTTTATAATACTCTTCTATTGACCCTATATTAATGTTAGGACGATGAGCTTGCCTTATTGCAAATCGAGGGAGACAAATGTTAAACTCGTGTAACTCTGCTTTTGACTCCGAAATAACATATAAAATTCTTCAACATCATTAGCCCTAATTTTCTTGAGTTCTAATAAAAATGCTCTCCACTATTCTCATCGTCTCAATCAAGTTAATGTTATGTTTTTGAAAATACATAAAATAGTTGTATAATAAACATTCTAATGAGAAAAAAAATAAAAGTATTGAATCCAATGATTTGCTTGCTTATGAGGAAATATCTCATTCAGGAAATTGGGATATTTCAGTAAGAGCATTAATAATCGACCGAAGACTCCATCTCGCTGGACAAGCTTTTTGCAATTTCATTATCCTCGTTGGGCAAGGAGTTTCAGAAATAATTCTGTTTACAGAATCCCCTAATAATTTAAATTTTACAAGACCACGAAAATTACTTTCATTATCATTATTATTGAAATTCAAGCTTCCTGAATACAAATGGCCACATAATTCTAGGCCCTGAAATCCACAATATAGAATGGTCTCAATAGCTAGTTTGATCTTACATCTATTTTCTTTTGCTATTTTAATCCTATTTTTGTCAATATGTTATAAAATGGGAATCATATCCGCACTTTGAATTATTTGAAGAAATAATCAGTTCACAACGTTTGAGATAATATGTTTTTAACATGATTGTCAAAGATTTCTCCAGCATCTTTGTACGTGTTGAATGGAGTCTGGACACATATCTTGCAATAAGCTCTATTGTCTTGGATAGAAAATTCTAGCCATAATCATCTAATAAAATAGCTGTTTTAAAATTTTAACTTTCGATTAGCATATATTGTGGATATTGAAATTTGAGGGGTGGAATATAAATCTATTATTAAATAAAATATTTATCATAGGTATCTTTAATACCTTTTATGTCTTACTTCTAGACTAGTGTTGTTAAACGGCTCGTTTTGAGCCGATTTTTAAAAACGGCCAACTCATTATTTTATCCGGAAAAATATTAAGCAAGCCTGATGATTTTGTTCATAGAAGGCAAAAAGTCTAGGCATATATTAGTGAAATTTTGTTTAAGCTATATTTTTCTAGTGAAAGTATTGAGTTAGCCGTTTTTAAATATCGGCTCAAAAAGAGCAGTTTAACAACACTATTCTAGACTAATTATAAAATTATTTGTACTTTTTTGTAAGATGACTAGGATTTTTATCCTCATCAATATGCTTAAAAAATTTCTTATGTCCATAATTATTATTTGACTAGAAATTTGAAAATAATAGATAAATACCCCATGGAAAACTTGAAATCGAAATTAATTGATAAAATAACTTAGTAAATGAATGTGAGGAATAAATGTAATTAAATATATACTTAAAAAGAAAGAGAATGGAATAAATATTATAAAATACAACTTAATATAAACAAGAATATTTTGAAAAAATTTATCCAGCATCTGCATTTTTTGGCTTACCCCCCCCCCCCCCCGATACGTACGCGCCTGAGTGGAATTAATACAATTTTAGCATCCACTAGATTAGTATCTACTGACTGTAGATACCTATTTGGTGGATCTATTGTTATTATATCTCATAAATTATAATGGCTAATATAACGTAATTTATATTAACGCATTGAGATAAAAGACCAGACAGGATTAAATGCCTGTTCGATTTTAGTTATTAATCTAATATAATTTTTCACTTATATAAAAAAAAAATTGTATCAGGTGAGCCTAAAAAAATTTATGAGAAAAATATTGCAATTGTAATACATATATAATTTACATATAAATCTATCTAAATTATCATAAATAATATAGAATTTTGGTTATTTTTAATAAAAGGGAAATATAATTCATGGATTCAATCTTTTCTTGTTTTGACTCTACTACTAGAATAATTGGATGGATATTGCAAAGGTATATCTGGTGTAAATATCTGGCCTATTGGTTGGATCAATTTCTATAAAAAAAATTTGCAGGTAAATTAATAAATATTCATTTGTGTGTGAGTAAAATAAAAATATAACCCTTCCCTCTCCGTTTGTAATTAATTCTTCAAAAATGTTCTTCCCTTTGATCTTCATATTATCGTATTATTTATGTAAAATAAATTTAAGGAAACAACAAAAAACCTTCCTTTCATATAATTTGAACATTTCAGATTTTAGTTTTTTCAGTATGTGTATACTAGGCGGTTGATCGGAATCATTGATATTTTGTAAGGATGTAATACTTTGTTCTTCAAGCTAAATTTATATAAAAATGTCAAAATAATTATCATTAAATTCTTTATCGAAAGCTATGAATTATTATATTATCTTAACCCCCCACCCCCACAACAACTTATTTATCTCACATAAGGTAAAAAATAAACTATTTGTGGATGTAATTTTTAAATATAATTTTATCCATTAAATAAAATTGAAAAATGTTTTCAATGTGGCTAAGCTAACTGGTACCGAACTCAACAATAAGCAAACTTTCCTTATACATTTATTCTGCATCTACAGTAAATATTTAATAGCTATGGTTTGCTCTTAAACAAATAAAGTGTTCATAGTGTATTAGCTGATGCTATATTGAAAATAAGCTAAGTTGTTGGACTCAATTTAAAAATTAACTGGGCAACATATGATGGATAGATAATGGAGGGTGTAAATAAGACGAGAAAGCTGCAAATATCTAAATTTAGAAGCAATATTAGACATATCAGGATTGCATGTATTTTTTCAGAGAATCGCGTCGAATATGTCCCGTTTGAATCTCGATGGCACGAGAAATTTAAAGCCATAAGAGTTTTCACAATTATTTCTCTTTCTACGGACAAAAATGAATTGATATGTTCAAATATAACCATGTTTCTATTTTGGGAACCCAACCAAAAAATTGTTGGCCATGATATTTTATCCGTTTATAAAATAAGATTTTTATATTATTATGTTTTTGAAGTGGATTTTATAGTTTTTATAACGTCATGTTACACAATATTTTACTTAATATTGTATAAATAGATAATTAATCCACTTAAATAAATGAAGTAATGTAAGTTTAAAAAAGGTCCATCAATCGGTCGGGTCTAAGACTGATAGGACTCGTTGACATTCACTACAATACATATAATTATTTTTAAATGGTACCTTTTTAAAGAATGAAAGTTTGAAAAAGTCATTTTATCACCATTTTTTTCAAACTGCCACCCCCCCCCCCCCTCCTATCGTAAAAATTGCGGGGGCTCATAATCTAATGAATCGGATTACAATTTTTTATATATTAACGTAACATATTTTTAGAGTTCATTAAACTTATATTTTTGTATTTTAAATGGATAATTTTTAGATATAAATAGTGGAATTTTCAAACGAATAAAAAACAGTTTTCAAAACTTTTTAATAAGAGAATATTCTTGACATCTGCAAACTACTATTATTTCAAGACACAACATAATGGCGTAGTCTTTTTTCATTTTTGCTGTTCATATTACTCAAAGAAAGTATTATTCATATCTCTTAAGCAAAATTCTATAAGGAAAATAATGCCGAATAAAACTTATGCTATTTATTTATCCTTATTTAAATTATTCAAATATAGTATCTGTTATGTATTAAATTGTTTATTTTGTTATTTTTTATAAAATGTTTATTTTCATTTTATATCTTATTATATGAATTTGAATAGAAAAAGAAAATGCGATTTGATAACGAATAAAATAAAAATATATTTCAAGAATTAGTTCTAATGATACATTTCAGTATCTCTTAAGAAAAATTATTTATAAACCTTTAAAAGAAAAAAAATAATTATCAAATAAAACTAATGCTATTCATATCCTTATTAATTCATTTTTTCTCCCATTTTTCCCAAAAAAGTATATTTTTTAACTTTTTTGCCCTTCAATTCATTGATAAAATTTCGTCCGTACAATCTCAATATCGAACCCCAATTCGTGACTTGAGGATGAATTTTCTGGGCACATAAAGAAAAATATTTAAAAATATTATTAGAGTGGTCTATCAACAAATTTCGCATTTCAATCTCAAATTTAATTTATATGCAAAGCCACTATTATATAAATTTTAAACACATTTTACAGATCGACTTTAAATATGACTAAAAAATTATATTTGTTCAAATTGGCATGCGAAACTGTAAAAAAATAGGGTTCCCGTTCAGATTTTGGAACTGTGATATAGATAGCGACATTAGTGTTCTTCACATAGTGCTGTGTCAATCAATTAATTATTCCAATGTATATTTTAACAAATATTTATACAAAAATAAAAATAAAATAGTATCATGGTTCAAACTTGTAATATGTGCTGAGCTGCTTTGTGCTTGCCTTCCTTCTTGCTATGACAATAAACCTTTTTTTTCGTTTTATTTATATAATTATCATTTTACATTTGCGAATTAGTAAAAACATGCTAAAAATAAATATATTTGAATTTGATAAGTATTCTTTCTTTAGTGTTATTTATGTTTTAGATGATGGTGGGTATACCAGTTATAACATTTTTCAAGAGCCCATAAATTTTAACCTATAAAACTGATATTTTCTTTGCACAAAACTTAAAAATATGCATATTTTAATTAAAGGGGTTAAAAAAAATTGAACATTGAGGATTATTATAATAAGGATCGGGATGGAATATGCCATTTCAGCAATTATCATTTTTTTAAATGCAAAATTTTAATTAAAATAAAAAAAAGGAATTAAAAATTTTTATTAAAAATATAGTTGAAATTTTTAATCATTTAATTAACCTCATAAATAAATAAAATTCTATGACGGGGTAGAGTATAGTTAACTTTATATGTTAAGTTAAAATAATGACTAATAAAGCATATAAAACAAATTTTTATAGATAAAATTAATCATATAAAATAATTTTTTTATATTTCATTTGGTCAAAATGGTAGTTAAAGAAGCTTCATAAGATTTTTGAATACTCTTTCGAAGCTTTTTATAATTTATGATTTATTTATAAATAAAATAAGGGGAACCAATATTATTTAACTTAAAAAACAGCAGACTAACCTATTCTTCCGATGTCGTGAGGCTAAATCGGGGTTTTTAGGTAAAAATGATAATAATTTTTTAAAAAAACGTGTAAAAAATTTTAAAATAACATTGATTTAGTGATTATCATTACCGAAGCTTCGTGTTTTCCTACGGTGAGTGTAAATAAATGGGTGTTTTGCTTGATAAATTTCAGTTCGCTCTTGATATTAGAATCGGTGAGGCCAAAGTTTCTTTTATATATAAATAAAATTCTTACGTATCATTCCATTTCAAATCACCCAAAAATTAGGAAGACATTTTTAAAACGAATAAGACTTGGCATGATAGTGACATATTTTATACAATTTAAAATTTTAGAGCTCTATCTCAAATATATTCGTAGTTATGGATCTTATAAGTCCAATGTGGGCTTTCTTTTAAAGAATCTCAAATTACTCAAATAATATTTAGAGTAAGGTAAACCAATATAAGAAGAAATATTAAGCGGCAGAGTATGTAAAATATATAATATAAAAATAATTAATTATTTTTTCATATTTTAATGAATGTAGAAAATTAAATAAATATGTATGTATATTAAACAATTTTTATAATAATAAATATAAAATAAAGTAACAAAATAAATTCCGCAAGATAGAGCATTTTTAAAAAATGTATATTTTTTTATATAACAAAAATAGCAGTTTAATTTACAACAGAATATGAATATATATTTTATAATATAAAATGACATAAATTTAAAATTCATTTAAGTTTTTTTTGTTCAGCAAAAATATGGATGTATCTTTTCCATATGTATAAGCATATATTTTTGTTTTTACTAATAATTACATTCTTAAATTTTTCAAACCTTTATCAATCTTTATAAAATGAAAATTAGATTAAATTATAATATAACGAGCAAAAACATAATTCTATAATTTTAAATAATGTTATTTTTTACTATTTTTTAATTTACAGACAAAAATTAATATCTCTGACTTTTTTTCTATTATTTTTATTCCTGGCCATTATTTTATAGAATAGGATGTGGCTTTGAATCAAAACGATTATTATTTTTCTAAATTATTTAGGTTTCCAATTAACAATAAAGCTCTTTTAAGAGAATTTTTTTAAACCAAAATATTCATGTCTCTGCATTGCACATTTTAAATGAATATTTTTTAACATCTACAAATTATCTTATCCTGATAATTTTAATTTAACAATTAAATAAATGTGTTTTTACAGAATTTTTAAATTGAAAAGAAAGCTAAAATTAAAAATAAATTAGTTAAAAGTTAAAAATATAATATTTTTAGGCCAACCATTTTTCATTATATAAAACCTATTTTCCTGTTTTTTATAAACTTGTATGTTTTCATGAATTATATAGGGTTATATTTAATTTTTCTTTCCTTTTTTATCAATTTATCTTTTCTTCCAAAAAAATCAAAATTACATGAATTTTAAATTTAAATCATTTTATATTATAAAATATATATTCATATTCTGTTGTTAATTAAAGCGCTATTTTTCTTATATAAAAAAATATACAAATTAAATTTTATTAAAATACAACATCTTGCGGAAATTTTATTGTTACTTTATTTTCTTATTATCTAATATTATTATAAAAATTGCTTATATATAATTATTTTTTTATATTCATTTATATAGGATTTCTAAACAATAGTTAATTAAATTTATATTATATTTTTGAAAAATTTCATATCTTGCAATTTATATTATTTATATGCAATTTAAATATAGAAAAAATTTCATAAATATATCAAATATTTAATATTAACCCTTTGACATCCAGCTTTTTAATAATTTTTTTTTAAAAAATTTCCTATAAATTATTCATTTATACACTCCATAGATCCCCAATTTTTTTTAATCAACTTTTATTTTTAAATATACATGTTAAAAAATGATGATGCAATTTGACATCATCAGGTATAGTGTAATACAAAAAGATACAACAGTGTAATACAAAAAAATACAAATATCTATTTATCAGAGACCTGCAGAGGTACCATTTGTAAGGCCCGGATATTTTTTTAAAAAATTTTCAGGTCCGGCCCGGGTATATAAAAAAAATTAAAATACGGCCCAGCCCGTTATTATGAAAATATCGAAAACAATCTATTGATTAAAACATAAATATATGTCGTAATTTTTAAAGGGATCAGAACTATCCGGGGTCATCACGGGTTTTAAAGGGATAACTAAAAATAGGGTTTTAAGTTAAAATGATAATACGGTATTATCATGTTATAACCGTGATAAAGAGGAATCTTATTTTAAAAAGCGTTATACGCGCGTTTCGTTTCGTTTTATTTTTTTAATTTTATTGTTATTTATTAATTTTCAATGTTGTTTTTCTTGACCTTATGAAATAAGATATGTCTAATTTAGGGTATCAATTGATAACTAATCAAAAGATCTATTCAACTGGAGGTCAATCTCTCCCCCGTAATGGGCGAATCTAGGTCTGAGGGGGCCAGGAATATTTTTATCAACAATAAATATTGATATGGGTATCAAATAAAAGCTAATTTAAATATCTTTTGACTGAAAGCATTCCTTCTTAATCTTGATAGGCATGACTTGGTTTTGGGGATGGGTGCAGGGCGGAGGGGGGGATATTTTTTTGACATGGGCATCAAATAAAAGGCAATCAAAATATTTTTTTATTGTAATAACTTGAAGCGGGCGGGTATAGATCTTGGGGGGTCAGGAATATTTTTAACACAAAATATTGTTATGGTTATCAAATAAAAACTAATTTAAATATCTTTAGACTGAAAGTATTCATTCTTGGTCTTGATGGGTTTGATAGGTCTTGGGGGTGGGTGGGGGCAAAGTTTATTTGAAATGGGTATCAAAAAGGTATTTAAAATATTTTTTGATTTCTCTAAATGGGCTCTAGGTCTTTGAGGGTCAGGAAATATTTTATCAACACAAAATATTAAATAAAAATTACAGATTAAATCTATGCCCCAAAAATATTGAAGCCAAAATTATCTAAATGGAGGGGGAGAAACTATGGGTTGGAACCTGTTTGGGAAAAATTGGTTCCCAATTTTTAAAAACGAAGGTTCACAAATCAATAAAATTTAACAATTTAACCATTCCTAATAAGACCATCTCCATAATAATAGCATCAAGAAATGCATCTTTTCTTATGGTAATTGTAAATCAATTTGCCAAAAAAGTTACAACAATAAGAGATGCCAATGTTTTAAAAATGGTATTATTTGTTTCACAAAATGTCACTTAAATATTATTTGTGTAAATAATAAATAATTGTTCAAAATTATATTTAAATTTCAATTATCAAAAACATATAAAATATGTGTTGATTATATGGCTTGAAAAAAAATATAATAATAGGCATGCTTTGCTTGTAAAGAGTGTAATAATTTATAAATGCAATAAGAAAAATTTACAATGTCATTTTAAAATTTGTGAAATGATGGTTTCAAATATAGCTTCCAGAAATTTTGAGATTTAAAAATATAACATATTAGATTAAGTTCCGAGCAAATAATTTTATCATTATAATACAATGAGTTTTTAAAAAGCATAGACTATATATATATGACCCCTGCTTATAGTGATATTTAATATTGAAGTCTAAATAAGTTGTATTTAACTCTTATTTGATACCCATGTTGATGTTTTGTGTTAATAATAATATTCATGACATTTTAACAAGCCCGCTTAGCGTGATAAAATTAATATAATTAAAAGATATTTTAATTCTTTTTATTTAATATCCATATCAATTTTTATATACCCTTCCCCCATTCCCAGATTAAGTCCAACCATTTAAGATAAGAGTAAATACTTTAAGTCAAACGATATTTAAATATTTTGTGTTTATAAAAATATTCTTGACCAAGACCTCCCGCCTAGTTAAGTATAATTATTACAATCAAGAGATATTTTAATTATCTTTTATTTGATACCCATATCGTTATTTTATGTTGATAAAAATATACCTGACACTCAAGACCTAGAACCGCCTACCTCCTGACCCCCCAAGACGTAGACCCGCCCACTTAAAGTGATTATTATACCTTTTATTTGATATCCATATCAAAAAAATTATTTTTTACACCCCCCACCCCCATTAACCCCCTTGATTAGGTCATACCCATCAAGACCAATAATGGATACTTCCAGTCATGAGATATTTAAATTTGCTATTATTTGATAAACATATCGATATTTTGAGTTGATAAAAATATTCCTGACCCCCCAAGACCTAGACCCTCCCGCTTAAAGTGATTATTACAATAAAAAAAAATATTTTTTACCCCCCCCCCCCCTCCCCCTTTAATTATTTGATATCCATATCGATATTTTGTTTTGATAAAAATATTCCTTACACCCCGACATAGACTGTCCTATTAATGGTGAAATTTTGACCTCTAGTTGAATAGATCTTTTGATTAGCTTTCGATTGATACCCTATATTCGACATATCTACTTTTATAAGCCCCCCCCCCAAAAAAAAAAACTTTGAAAATAAATACAATAAAATTTTTAAAAATAAAGCATAACGCGTTTTAAAAGCTTCTTTATCATGCTAACGTAATAATATCGATTAGTTCTTTATCATTAAATAAATTGAAATCTTAAAAGGATCCCTTTTAAATTACTTGATGATCCCGGATAGTTCTGATCCCTTTAAAAATTACAACATATATATTACATTTTGCATATTTTGTTCTGGAGTATGCATAACTTGAATCTTTGCCTAGTTTCGCAGGCATCCGGTCAATGACCTATGTTTTCATATCAGATAATCAAATATAAGTGCCATTATAGATGAATTTTTTTTTTAAATTATCGGTTCATTCAAAGATTTCCCTGATTTTCTTCTATCTGCAGATAACTATGCGTTTTAAATTGGATAAGTTTCATAAATTTATTCTCTTTCATGGCATATTTGCCACCCATATAAAAGCCATGAATTCACCACACACACATCAATGAGATGAAAAATACTTCTCAATAGAACCCTTTTCCTTTAATGTCTACTCGATAGCATTCAACTAGCATATCATGGTCTTGGCACATCAATATATTTTTTGCTACTTAGTGATCATCTTCTTAAATTTACTATTTGATGAACAATGACAAAGGATGAGATGACCTGCACAAACTTATTGTCGTACCATTTGAACAATTATTATATTTCCTTTTTTATCAACTTTACATACATAGCTCCCGCGGCCTTATTTCTTAAGTCTCTAGCATTTTAACTTGCAATCTTTCATCAAATTACTTCTAATAGTTCCTACCAAATATACCTATTTCTTTAATTTTTTAGCCAATGCTATTGAAGAAATGAAGTTATCGCAAAAGGATTTATGATTTTAAAATTTCGGGATATTTTTAGCCAATTGAAGGACTATATCACTAATCATTCCTAATTCTGATGGTTTTGGATTAGTTTGCTTTCCCGCATAATTTTTAAAATCATATACAATACCGGAGGATCAGGCTAAACTTTGATACCCCATTTATGAGGCTTCGATTTTATATATTATTTTAAATGAACTCCGCCCTTTGAACGGGATGATTAATTCAACATATACTCTTTCCTCCATCTCTAATCTTCGCATATTGTTTTTTTTGGATGATAATGTTATCATTATTTTCTAGATCTTCAATCTCGACTTGAAGATTATTAGATGTTCGAGTTGATGAAGTTGAAAGAGAATCATCGTAGAGAGTGTGCAAAATATCTTCTTCATTGTCTGATTCATCGACGTCGGCTTTCGAAATGTCTCCCTCGACTAGTATAATAATTTGGTAAATTATGCAGATTTTAAAAATATAATAAATGTAAAATTGTAATATGAATAAGAGGACATAAGTCTTATGGACGTCAAGAGGTATTTTAAAATCCCAATGACTGATTTTGGAATCATACACTTTAAGTTGATATAAAAAGAGCATAGTCATTTTTAATAAAATAATTAATCATAATATTATACACTTACCTTTAATAATGAATAAAAATTTAAGAATTATTAAATATTATCCACAGAATTCATTATATTGTGGTTTTATAATCATATATTTCAGTAAAATGGTAAAGATAAAATTGTGAAAATATGATTGGATCAAATTTAAAAATAAAATATCAAGCGTTAATAATTTTCATAAAATACGAAAATATTTTTATGATATTATATGACGTCAAAACAAATAATGAGACGTTTATAAATAGACTATAAAATAAAGGTTGTTCTTTTGCAAATGGCGATATTTTAAAGGCGTTATTTTTAATCGTTGAGCAGTCTATATTAATACAAGCCTATGATTAAAACATCAGATATATTAAAATTATTATGTAAAATAACCCTTTTTAAGCAATTTATTATTGTAAACATAGATATAATTCAATTTTCTGAGGTTATCTATTGTTTGCTGCACGCATACATGCTATATCTATCATTTGGACTATATCGTTAAAAAAAATTATTATTATTATTTATGATTAAAATATGCACTTAAATGAGGGTTTAGTCAAAAATTAAAAAAAACTTTTTTTTGCTTATCATATTTTTGGGAATTGGATAGAATTTTTTGTGGGGATAAATTATAAGTGGGTCCTGGTAGCAATAAGACCTATCATTATTTGGCTAGTAGCCACTTCTTATCCTCAGCGTACTGTAGAAAGATTAAGTAAATCTTTCTATTTATTTCATATATTTTTCTATTACCACACCTTGGCTAAAACTAAGCAAAAACATAGTATACGCACGACGTCGAAATAAATAAATACAATTTTATAATCTTCAGAATTAGAATATAACTTTGTTCGATCTTTATTTAAACCCATAGGAAATATGGGATGTATTTTATGAGTTTGTGGCATACAGTATTTCTTCCTCCTCAAATTCATCGATAGTACTTAATATGTATATTTTTTATTTTGCATACTGATATAAATCAATAGGTGCTATGATTTTTTAAGTTGAGCATTGTACGCTGGATCGTGCTGACAACCTTTTTATAAAGCATTCAAGGCCTTTCATGGATATTTCCCGGCCATTCTCTGGATCCAAAATTCGACTCATGAAAATCTAAATTTATAATAAATTGCGCGGCATCTATAAGAACATTAAAATATGATATCAGGTTTATTGCCGAACATATCCTTCAAAGAATTAATTATTAGGCTTTGGTATAAATAAATAGCTATAATAACATCGTGATGAAGTGATTCTGATATTACAATGCAACTTATATTAATTTTACCATCAATATTGTAATAAATACCATTGGATGAATAATGGCTTAATCATCCATTATATGAATAATGGCTTAATCAAACATTATATGAATAATGGCTTAATCATCCATTATATGAATAATTTTTGGAAAAATAGCATAAGAAAATATTCATTTTAGTTTAATTGTTATTTTAAAATAGAATGGAAGGATGATTGCTCGATAGCAATATGGCGTAAATAAATAATGATGAACTCCAAAAAAAGAAAAAAATAATATGTTCAACAGACTTTGTGGTACTCATTGTTTACAGGAATGTAAACAATTTTCATTTCTTTATATATATTTCATACTGTTTTTGAATTGAAAACATTCCGAAGTAATAATGGCATTCACCCATATAACAAATGATTGTTGGATTACCCCATTTTGGGCTAATATAATTTAGTAATGGGTTACTTGGCGTATTTATTAATTTTCCAATATTAACATAGAAGAATATCAACTTCATATTTTGGCGAATCACGCCAACGTGCATTAATCCAGTCAATATACAATTCTTAACCAGTTCAGAGCCGATTTATTTTTTATAAAATCATCGATTAATTATTTGGAAAATCATAAGATGGGTGTTCAGCATTCATTTACTACCTATATTTTTAATGATTATTTGAAACAATTTATAAAATTATTTAAAATAAAGAAATTATAAAAATCCGAGGGCTTGAAACTAAAAAAGATATAAAATTCCGAGCCGGCTGAGACTTAAAATTTTGCAGCTCTCATATTTTTTTATTATATCGGAAATGCGACGAGACTGATAATATATTTTTTTTAAATTTGTTAACGAAAAATGATATATAATTTGTGTGACTTTAAACTAAATATTTTTCGAGTAATTCTAGATTCCTTAAAAGGAGAAAACGCCTGCATGGGACTTTGCATAACTCCGGATATATTCAAGATAGAATTTAAAAATATTTTGATTAGTATAAAATTTACACATCGTTCATTTTAAAAAATGTTATCCGAAAATCTCGTTTTTTTGGTAGATTTGTCATGGAAAATTTAACTTTATTTTAATATTTTTAAAAATTATAATCATAATTGGATCCGCCTGAGCACTCATTATTTTAAAATATCAAGTAATGGGTCGATTTCTACCAAGATGGTGAATAAAAATATATTTAAGATACAATGCTAATGCTAGATAATTGTTAGAATGGTAATTTTTTAAAATTTGAATATCCGATTTACTTTTTAATACACATTTATTTTATTGATATTTGGGTTATTTTGTTCTTCCAAATAAATATTTTCTTAAATAATGTTAACCAAAATAGAATCGGTTGATACCGGGATCGGTCTTTAAAATAATAACAAACAATGAATATTCGACCACCCAAAAATGAGAAATTATCTATCAAATGTTAATATTATGTGTAATGCCTATTACCTTTTGAGGCACTCAAGCAACAAGGTATAAGGAGTCGGTTGACCGGCTTTGATAGATAACTCGGCGATCCTAGGATCCGTTATTTTGAGTTCGTTGAAAAGTTCGAATTCCTCTACTTCCTCTCTCACTTTTTTGTGATTGCTACTTTTATTGTCATTATTTGCCTTCTTTTTGTAATCATGGAAAGGGGAAAAGTTTGGTACGTGGGAGTTGGAGGTAGAAGAATGGAAAGTTGTTTTTATCAATTTTGAGCCTTTTGTATAAACATTTTACTCATCATTTTTGGTATATGGTTTATTTTGTTTAAAAATTATTTGGGTTAATTTAATTTTGTTTATTTTTTATTCAAGGTTTTTTTATAAAGGGTGAATTTATATCAATTTATAGTAGTTTTTGATGACAAGAATAATATTAATATATGTATTATTTTTCTGAATTTGTTTGTAGAATGAATTAAGAGAAATATATATACGCGTATTTTGAAAAAGAAGAAGTTAATATATTTTTTTTTTCGCGAAACTTTTAAATTATTATTATTATGATTTTTGGGGAAAAAATAAAGAGTACATTTGAAAATTTGTTGTTATTATATCAACAATAATTTACGTTAATACTTTTGAGACGTTCTTAATATTTTTTATAAGATTTAGCAAGGTTGTGTATTTGACCGGTATTTCGGTTCGGGCTGGGTCTGGCCTAATATTTTTAAAATATATTATTACATTAGTCAAATAAATTTATATATTTTAAAATTCTCGCAAGAAACAAGGCTTAAATATTTTTTATTTGAATATTTATTCAATCAAAAAAAGTATTAAATTTTTCTACATTTAAATAAATTAGAGGCGGGCTGGGCCGACAAATAATTTCTATTTTTACTTAGGAGGATAAATAAAAAAAAATTGTTTGGGATCAGGCCGGGGCCGGATGAATTTTTTCAAAATTAGGGCCGAGCTAGAAAAATTAGGCCCGATTCAGATCACTAATGAGAATAATAAGTCTTACAAATAACGATGTACAGAACCGTAAAAGTGAAGGAGGGAAAACTGGCCTATCCAGTAAATATGGAAAACCGCCAATAAAGGAAAAAAGTTAAATAAAAGTGGTCATATATATAAGAAAATTATTTAAAAAGATAAAATGGGCCATCAAAAATTGAGAACTCTATCAAGGTCTTTGCTCTATAAGCATATTCAACTTCGTAGGTTTATACTTTCAATCGAGCTTCTAAGTGTGTTGCTGGAAATGGATATATTGTTGGGTTCTTTATAATCTCTTTTTCCATCATCACGATCACTAGTTGTAGCAAAGAATGTTGGAGTCACCTTCTTCTCGACCGTAGTTGGTCGTTTGCACAGTTTCTCGCTATGGGTATTATCTATGGATTTAGAAGGAAAACAATCAATTACAAAAGAAGGTTTAGAATATTGGCAAAAATATTTTTTATAAAGTTTCTATTGGAGTGACCTACCGATATTCCCTATTTTAAATCATTTGAAAAAAAGCGAATATAATCTCTAAAACAAAATAAGAGCAAATGGATCAGTGCGGTTATTCCAGATCAATTCAACCCCCCTCCCCCCCAAATTACCATTTGAGAAACTCGGCTTGGAGTTTACCCTTGGTGGTTTATGAGTTGTTAGATTCAATTACAACCAGGCGCGTACGCAGCGGGGGGGGGGCAGGGGGACAAATCCCCCCCAAGCCTGCCGGATTTATTTTTCAAAAATATTATTGTTAATATTAATTTATATTTGTTAATATTTATTCCTATCTCATGTATATATTTAATTATATTTATTTATCACATTCATCTACTAAGTTATTTTATCAATTAATTTCGATTTCAAGATTTCCTTGGCGTTATTTACCTATTATTTCCAAATTTTAGTGGCGTATTATTTATCTAAATTTCTAGTCAAATAATAATTATCGCTGAGACTCCTTGTCCAACAGGGAGAAAGAAATTGCAAGCTTGTCCACGAGATCGAGTCTCCACCATCAAGCAGTAACAGCTTTTATGGAGTTAGAGGAGCGGATTATTAATGTTATTAATGAAATATCAAAATGGGTTGAAAGAAATATTTCCTCAGAAGCAAGAAAATTATTGGATTCAATACTTATTCCAAATTTTTTTTCTCATTAGAATGTATTATTTAATTATACAACTATTTTATGTAATACTTTTCAAAAACATGACATTGACTTGATTAAGAAGATGAGAATAGCGGAGAGCATTTTATTAGAACTCAAGCAAATTAGTGCTAATGTTGATGAAGAATTTCATATTTTATATGTTATTGTTGAGTCAAAAGAGAGCTATACGTGTTTATTTGTCCCCCTCGACTTGCAGCAAGCAAGCTCACCGTCAAAACATTAATATAGGATCAGTAGAAGAGTATTATAAAACAAAAGTCCCCTCTCTTAGATACATTTATAACCCAAATAAATGAATGGTTTTCAATTAATCATGCAGCACTTAAAAATCCGCAGATATTACTTCCACAAAAGCCTTTCCAACTTTTTTCAGATGGTGATAGAAAAAAAAATAAAATATTTGTTAGATTTTTATCATGAAGATGTTAAAATATCTTATGATGCCTTATTAGCTGAATAACTATGATTAAAAGATTAACTATGGTTGATACAGTCCCAAAAAATGCTATGGATGCGTTGCATTATTTCAAACACATTTTAGATTATATTCCCAATGTATTAAAATGGTTATATATATTAGCAACTCTTGCCATTAGTAAACTAATGAGAGAACATTCTCTTTTTTAAGAAGAATAACAGAGCCCTGCAGAGATACCATTTGCAGGGCACGGTCCAAATTTTTTTTAAAGTTTTTTCGGCCCCTGTTTTTTAAAAAAAATGAAAATAAAGTTTTCAGGCCCGGTCCGAATTTTTTTAAAATAAATTAAATTTATTTTTGATTTTTATAGCTAATAATGGCGACTTCAAATATTTGGTTTTAAAATATACAGTTCGACCCGGATATTCTTTTTAAAAAAATTTTCAGGCCCAACCTGGGTGTTTTTTTTAAAAAAATTTCGGGCCCGGCCCGAGTATGTTTAAAAAATTAAAATACGGTCCGGCTCGGGGGCCAGCCTGCAAGTCTCTGAAAAACATACCTATGAAATACAACTTCTGAAAATGAATGATTTGGATCTTTTGAATATTCATAGGCATTTAATGCCAAGCAAGGATAGATAATTGAAAAATTAGCTCAAAACATACAAAATACAATTATTCCTAAGAAACTTTTTGTGTATTAATTTATATTTCCAACATTTAAATTTTTTATACTTTATATATTTTAAAGGCTCAAAAAATTTAAATTTCAATTTTGGGTCATTTAAGTGATTCATATCGTGGTTATATTCACTTTATATTTTATAATTCATATTTATTTTATAGTTTTTCAATGCCGGTTTATATATATAATTTTTTTATAATTCACAAAATTTAAAAGTGTGTATTAGAAAAGTTATTAGTCCTAATAAATTTATGCTTAGTATTTTTAATTAACAATAATATTTCTTAAAATATTTCACCCCCCCCCCCTTCCCAATACCAAATTCCTGCGTACGCGCCTGATTACAACTTAAGCAATTTATCCCCTTTTCGATATTGGTTAAGCAATAGATTTATAATTAAACATTCTGTTCGAGAAGAAAATATTTATCTTAAACGTTTTACCTTCTTCCTTGATGATGTTCAGAGCTTGCGATTGATCGGAAGCGTATATATTCGGTACCTAAAATAAAAAGAATACAAAAAATCATTATAAAAATTAATAATTTTAAAAAAATAGAGTAAAAATAGTGTAAATATTGGGAGAACTATAATGGCTCAACTTTTTATAATGAATTAGAGGTGGGAGGGTGGAATAATTAAAATACATTTATACCCCCAAGTTTCCCGTGACATTCTCTTTAATAGGTTGTTCATATTTATCGAAAAGGTCCATATTGGTAGCATATAGACAAGATCGATCACCCACATCTGCCTTTATCTCGGCATAATTCTCTACCCTGGAAAATTCTTCGAATTGCTTTAAAAGTAGTTGAACTTCTTCAATATCCTCACCAATCGGTGATTCACTGGTAATAATTTTTGGCAGGAGATAATTGGCCCGATTTTCAGAATTCTCTGTTTTAAAGTTATCGTCAAACAATTCGTGGATATTGTCCTTTGCATCGTGAAACAGATATTGGTGGTTTCCTGCTCCTTTCTTATCACATTTAGTTTCCATCGGGTAATCTTCGTCAATGTTATCGGTGTTGTTGTTAAACAGATTTTTTTGGTTAATTTCGTTTAGCCCTCCCGAATTCGGTGTAAATATTTCTGTTTTTGCGTTCGATAATAAAAAACTGCTTTGGCTTTTTATACTACGTTCATCAGAGAAATTTCCTCCTGTGTCATCGCTTATTTTATCCATCATTTCTTTGTAATTTTTATCAAAATTATTGCTGGGGAGAGCATCATTTAGGTCTGCCGAATCTATTAATTGATTATCGGATTCATAATTTATACTATTCTTATTATCACGGGCATGGGTAAACTTATGAGGTTGTCTATTATCGCTATCAAGATTGGCATTTCTATTAATTTGATCGACAATTGGGAAACAATTTTTTTTACCAATATTCTGAAAGAGAGACGCTTTCTTGTCCAGTCCTAATAATTGATTGTTGGTAGTAACTTCATTTTTATCGGTATTTTCTAAAATTTTAATGTGGGCACCACCCATGAAATTTAAATCGTCTTCTTTGCATTCATCTTTGGTAATTAAATTTAAAGGGGGTAAATTTTTACTCTTTTCGTAGAGAGACGCTATCTCCGGGTTCAATACTGATAAGGCTACACGGGCTATTGATAATTAAAATTAAACAAAAATTTTAATATAAAATTTTTTAAAATATTGGGAAAAGATATGAAAATTAAAATATTCGAGGGGCTTGATCTTCTATTTAAAATGTATTTTTAAGGTGATTAAAACTGAAAGGGAAAAAAATAATTTGATTCAATTAGAATATTTTGGTATTTAGAAAATAATTTATTGAGATTAAAATCCCGTTTAAGTATATTTAATAATTTTTAATCTAGCTCATTAATTAGTAAAGTCGATCCTGACAGGCAGCACTTAGAGAATTTAATCGAAAAAATATAATTCGACATGACTCGTTGCTTTCATCTTACCAGCACAAAATCCAGCTATAAAAATTAATCTTTAAATAGTGTCTCTCAGATAAATAAAAGATATCCCGAGCTCAAGAGCAAAAGCAATACTGTCTAATTGAAGAGAATTATTTTCCTTCACTTTTTCTTTCTTCCGAGCTCTTTTTTAGAGTTAACAAAGGATAATTAATATTTAGTTTATAAATATTATGTTATAAACCTGCATCTAACTTAGCATTTTTCTTATTAGAACCATAGCCGATTCCATATTCGAGACCTTTGATGGAGAGCCGAGCGCTAAAGGGTGTATTGGAGTTTTCTGCATATATTTATTAAAAATTATAACAATTTTTTTTGAGGGGGGGGGGGTCAAAAAATTACGTTTTTCTTCTTCTTATTTTCCTACCTCCTTTCTAATTCATAATTTATCGTTTATTCAAAGTAAGCATCATTACCCACGGTATGGAAGGTGTAAGAAACTTGGGTCTTAAGCACATTTTGAACATATTCGTGTAAAATGCTTAATACGGTTTTATCTTCCGGGTTGAAGTAAAAATCTTTTTTTTAAAAGAAATGAAAAAAATCCCAATTATTTTTGAAACAATATGAAAATGAAAAATCTTGTTAAATCTAATAAACTTTGTATCTAATGGCATTCATATTATAAAAATTAATTTTTAAAAACATCGTGCGGTAAGATTTCATATGGAATAGAATATTTTTAAACTATCCTAATTTAGTGCTAATCTTATTATTGTTTTATATAAAGTTTAAAGGGTATTTGAATTTTTATTATAATCGGATTAATGTCTTGACATTAGCAAAATTTCTCAAGGCGTAGTCGGAAGGGATTCTCTTTCGGAATAAAATTATTATTTAAAAAATGTAACATATCCAAAGGTCATCCAATAAAATTTATAGGGAAATACCAACCTTGCACCCCCTCCCCCCGCCATTTCCTAAATTAGGCTATTATTGTATCATTGCAAACTATTTTAACTAGATATTCAAACTAGCCGACCCAAATTACTAGGACTTAGGATATTTATTTCGGATTAAAATTTTATATACTATTACGATGACCTCATATTGATTTTGGCAAAATTTTGGGTTTGACCATTTTTTACGAAATTATTAATCCCAATTTTATAGGATATTATTATATATTAATACACTATCTCACAATATATACATTCGGCCACTAACAATTTTTTGTTTGATGCATTTTAAAATTTGAATAAAAATAAAACTATTTGTGGAAAATTCGACTATAAATAAGTAAATAATAGAGATTTACTGTAAGAATGACCATCATAGATATCTGATTTAACTCTAATTAAAACTTTATGGAAAATCATGTAAAAACAATTAAGAAAATAGAACCTTCTAAAAGGAATCTTCAAAAAAAAATGAAAGATCGAATTTTACTTATCAGGAATTCTGCGGAAATATCATAAATAAAATTCCCGACAAAATAAAAGTTGTTTTTAGTGCGAAAATAGATGCAAGCATGAGCTAGTAAAAATAAGGTCATAAATCATAAAAAAATTGAACAAATTATAAATAATTAATTTTATTTACTTTTTAAAAATATACAATGTCGGTATTTTTTATATATAATCTTATAGCTTAATTTATATAGAATTTAATAAATAAAAATATTTATTTTAAATTATGCAGTTTTATTTTTATTAAAATTTTAAAATCATATAAAAAAATCATAAATGGCTGAATATATATGATGTGTGGTTGTATATTCTGGAAATACAATAAAATGTCTTTAAATTTTTTTTGACTAATTTTATATAGATTGGTAAATGTTACTTTATAAAGCTTTTGCTTTAAAAATTATATAGAAATATTTTTGTCTTCCTTTAAAGATTTTTATAAAAATGATTAATATATATTTTAATTACTTTTTTTTTTTGCGACTATTTGTCCGTTGTACTTTTGGGTTGGCAAAATGCACTTCACAATTTTTGCTGATTTCGGCTTTTCATTTAAGGTATTATTTTTTTATATATAAAATGAATCAAATGTTTGTAATGTGTGGCCCAATTTTCGTATAAAAGAAACGCGAAATGACAAAATCTTTTCCTTTTTTAATCTCTGAATTGATAAGATAGTATAGTGTAATAAAGTTTATAGTAAAGAAAACCTAAAGTATATTATATTAAATGGATTATAACATTTCATATATTTAATCCCATATTTCATTTAATGGTCCCCTGTAAAATTATAATTTTAAAAATTTATACTTTTTTCTATCTTACTCTAACTATATCAAAGAAAAAAAATGGAATTTACTAATGAAGGTCTTTGAGATTTGACTTTTTTAATATGCCTCCTTCTATCAGCCCAGGTTCTTTGAAAGGATAAATAAAAAAAATTGTAATATAGTAATGTATAAAGTGGTACTCATGTACCCATTAATTGCCTTATTTCGATGTCAGAAATAAATAGAGGGAAATTATAAAAGTATTTGAAAAAGACTTGAACAGCTATCTATTCAAATATTTGCAAGTGTTTATAAAGTAATAATCTATAATCGTTTGAAAACTGATGTTTTTAAAGTGTCTTTTAAAAACGTATATAAAATACATTCCTTTTTAAATAAAATACAATAACAATGAGATTTATCTCCAATTGAACACAAAGAATAAGACGGGAAGAGAATATTGAATAATAATATACTTGAATCTTCTAACAGTTATAGTTTGAAAATCGAATAATTTTTCGCAATATTGTCTAAGTTGAGCGGGAGCTGATAAAAGATTATTAGAAATCATTTTTATAATTGTACCCAGATTTTTTTTAAAAAATACATTAGGATTAAAGGTTAGTACAAGTCATAGATTTGATAAGCTATTAGCTCAAGTTTTTTCTCTATTTATTTGGAAAATAAATTTATCGCAATCATCCATTTTAAACAAATATTACGGAACATTATCTTTAATATTTTGATAAATAATGTTCCATTTGAATTTAGAGAAAAAAATCAATCAGGGTATGATTTATAGTGTGTATTATTCTAAAATTAGTTATAAACGAATTTGTTTTCAAACAATCTTAGAAATTGAGCCACCTCCCATTTCCTCCAATTTCATACCTAAATATTTATCATTAGACCCAATATTTACTATTCTAAGTTAATATATAAACCTATCCAATGTCTCTCCTTGATTTGTTCAGCAGATTCGACAGTAACTTTGATTAAATCGCTTATAATATTATCATTTAGATTCCTCGGTAAATTTCTTATTGATGCTCGGTCATCGGAAATATTTTGTAAGAATTCTTGGTCGGGAACATCATTATTCCCATGTGTCGATGTTTTAGAAATATTTTCTGCGTTATACTTTTCCAACAAATCAATTTCGTTACTTTGACGTTCCTTAAATCTTTGGTAAAGCAGACAGGGTATACCACCCAGAGGAACGCTATGTTTCTTTAGTAAAAATATGAAACATTTCTATTCAATTAACTTAACTTAAATTTATTTTATTCTTTATTTTATAAAAAATAAAATAATTACAAATAATTTTCCGGATCCTCCATGGAAAGAAATCAGACGGATCGGTTAAAAAATTTTTAATATGAAAAGGTCAATTATTGTTTATAACAAATAAACGAAACAAGAAAGAAGATAATAATGATTTTAAAAACCCTAACACTAGCCGATCCTAGAAAGTAAGGTCTGGCTAGAGTGCAGACCCTGGTCATCCTATTTAAGTAGATGGGAATCCCGCTATTGTGTGTTACTTCAATCCATTTATCGGGCAGAACTTCGAAATCGTCTTTATCTACGGCTATAAAAAAAGTATTAAAATTCAAAAGCTTATTGTTTTTCTCTTATCCTTTTGTGCTTTCTATCCTTTTTCCTCATTCATTTAATCTTACGTTCTTTCTTTCTGTCCTAGCTTTTTACCCACCCATCTTAGTTTTTCCCTTTATTTTAATTTTCAAAATTTCATTCTTCTCCATATAAAATAATAAAAAAATTATTAAAAGACCCTTCATGACACTCTTCTCGTAAACCAATGGGCCTATAGCTTTATCAACAGGTTGTTCAAGCATGTTAAATATTTCTTCGTCCTCCATATACTGATCTGTATATTAAAAGTGTAAATGATCTGTTAAAAATTAATAAATATAATTTTGACCAGGTCCAGATTAAAAAAAAAATTCCCCTCAAGGATGATCCGGATGTTTAAAAATTTAGTTATCTCACGGCCAGGTCCATTTTAAACTAGGCCATATTTTGCGGCTTAAAAAGAAATTTAAAATAAGAGAACAGATTAAATGTTAAATATTCCATAAATAATTTCTCCACTGGTAAATTATTAAAATTTAATTTTAAAAAAATTGTACCCTGTGCGGGTAAATTTTTATTTTTAGACCAGGCCTGGATTTGTAAAATTTGACTATTTTACGGGCCTTGTGTACAAGGTCTACAGGTCTCTGATATAAAAAAGGAAGGATAAAAATGAGAATTGTGAGTACACCATTTTCCGATTTTAACTTTCAAAATCTCTGGTCCCCTCACACAGTTTATATAAGAATAAGAGGTTACCTGTACAAAAAGGAATATAATTGAGTAATTAAGTTAAATGCTAATTTTATATGGGATACATTTAAATATAAATAAATCTAGAGATAAATCTTTCTTTTCGATAAAAAAATCTAATAAACTCACCCATATCTTCATTGAGACTTCCAGCTTCTCCTTCGGAACTGCTATCTTGATAAACTTTTGTTTCTTGGTCGCGTTCAAACAAAAAATTATCTTTCAAATTTTTTGGTAATATTTTTTCATCGTTAAGCATGTCGATTTGACCAGTTACATCCAATGATGGTTGAGGCAAGTATTTAAGATCAGATTCTAATGTTGGGTGATTAGTTGGTTGCTTATTTGTTATTCTATTATCCAATTTGTAAATATTTTTAGCACTCTTGGGTGGGAAATTTTTGTTGTGCCATTTGGATGTATAAGAAGTTTTGGTTATCTCGGGTATTATGTTATTGGTTGAAACGATTGCATTCTTTTATAAAAATGGTAAGGAGGGGGGGGGGAGAGGGGAGTAAAGACTTACATTTATATTTCAGCATTATACCGATAATTTAAATTAAATAAGTCAAGAAAATAGTTGTTGGATAAACGAAATAAAAGAAGCTTTTAAATTCATAAATTATATTGTGTATATAAAAAAACCATAGGAGCCAAAATATCTTCCTTGAAAGGACATCTCTCACGAATAGATCTTTGTCCAGTAATTTTAGTGAAACTACTATTACTTTGAGAGTCCGAAGTAAGGCGAATGTCACCAATTAAATCTTCACTACCTCCGGCTTCTTTCGTAATATTAAAAGAATTGAATGGAAAGGTATAATTGGCCTCTTTTTGACTAAATTGGATTATATCGTCAAGCTCATCTTCGCTCACCTCAACCGAATCCAAGATATGGAAAACGTTACTTTCATTCCCTATTTTCAAGACATTATTACTCAGAACATTTATTACAGCATTATCATCACAGGATTCGAGGATATAACCGGTTTGACCATAACTTAATCGTGAATTCCTGTGCCCTTCAATAAAACTACTATCATCGCGAGAGACTTGAATTTCATTAGCCATTTTCAGTGATTTATTTTCAAAATTGTCACCTGGTACGTCAATCTCCATTTTCGATTCTTTTTGATTGGCAGGTAATGTGTTTTTGATAAAGTTTGATATTTCTATTTCGGTACTTGAGAGCAATGATTCGTAACTGATTTCTCCTTCGGCATTCCGATCATCGCACGCTTTAAGGGGAAGTGGTAAATCTTTTTCTAACCCCTTTCCGCCTGTAGTCCTTTCGTGCCTGCAAGGATTTCGAAAGTTGAATTTGTTAAATTTATGATTATCTTCGCGAAGATGAGATTTCTTAATACGCTTCGATTCGGTAGCTTTGAATTCCAAAACCTCACACTGTTTTGACGATTCATGCTTTGAAATAGAAAGTGGAACAGTGTTTCTATTCGTAAAATTTCTCGATAACTGACCTTCGAGTTTCAAAATTGAACCCCCATTAGTATGGTAACTATTATTTCCCCTGCCATATCTCTTTCTTTTGATCTCGTTTTCCGACTCATTCTTTTTTACCGCTTCAAAATCCATTTTGTTGTCGGAGGCAATGGGTTTATACCTGGCAGGCAATTTGGTCAGAAGGTGTTGTTTTTTCAAGCTCTTCATGAGTCGACCAGGATCCCTAGAAGAGTTTCTATCCGATAGTTCGTCAACTTCGTAGGTAGAACCTTCGGAGCTCTGTTCTTCTAAGGTGGACATTAACAATAGTGTTTCCTGCTCCAGTTTCGCGCTTCTTCGCATTACGGCCCCTGTATTATGTGAGCTAGCCTTAAATTTGTATTTATCATCCTTCTCATGAGAACGATGATGAGAGGAAGAATGAGGAAAAAATTTATGAAAGGTATTGGTATACGATTGTTTTCTGATAGAATTTGAATGCAAGTGACGAGGAGAACGGGAAAAATAAGGTGGTGATCGACTAATTGATTTTTTATAAATAAAATACAGAGCAATTTCTTCAAACTAAAATTAAAATTGATAACTGTGAGTTAAAAAGAAATTATATTAAAACCCTTTTGTTTAAAAAAACATTTTCAGTTTAAAATGATATAGTAGTTACAGTTATGAGATTCATATAGGATTTTAACAATTGAGCATTAGCAGTATCAAATTAAAATTAAATTTAAAAAATAGTGGAAACCAACCCATCAAAATCAATTTACCAATCTACTTATATATTGACAAGATATTAACAAACATACCTAAAATAAACCATGTTTATTAAATAAAATTGTCATCAAAACCTTCTATGAAAAGATTTTCTTGCATCAACATCGCTCCTACCCCCTCGGAACTCAGTCATATTCCTGCATCTATCTGGCGAAGACAGCTTTCGCTTAAGATCCTTACTATGTTTATTTTTTTCATCACTGATATATTCAGATACTTTATCATGATTTTTAATTTTTTTATCATTTCTGGTAGGATCTGTGGCAAAATTGTTATTTTTAATATTTGTATCATTATTATCATTAGAAGAAGAGCCAGTTATAGATGGTCGGTGAATATAAGGATATCCATAAGCAGTATTATAAAATGGAGGTGGAGCATAATGAGGAATCATTACAGGTGGAAAATTGGGTCGGGGCATGTATGGTACCATGTGAGGAGGTGGAGGATAAAAGTTGTAATTGAAATGTTGCGGTGGTGGGTTATAACTGCAGTGGATAGGAAAAGGAACAGGAAGGGAGGGGTTAGATTTGGTTACTCCGGTTATAATTGCAACGGATTTCAGTTTTTTTTCAGTGGGAATCATTTTCTAACTTTAAAAAAATACTTTTATCATTAATTTTTGACGGCTCCCATTAACGCTTTTAATTAATAATAATGCAGCTGATATCTAAATTGTGTGTATATTTTTTTAGAATATATGTTTAGTATATGAAGAATATTAAAAATAAATCATGATGAAACAATTACATTAAATCAAACAGATGTTTAGAAATGAAAATTCTCCCATGGTTGCTTCTGATTGATCGTTCAAACTTGTAGTGAGGCCGGTAAAACATAGACCGGGGCGCATGCAGGCGGCAAATTTTTTAGATTCAAGCCTTACTCGACCTGTTACGGCCAAAGTGGTAATTTCAAATCAAAATATCTATGATGATGTTATCGCCGGTCCTGTAGGCCTCTAAGATATTTATTATTGAAAATTTGTTACATTATTAAGTATCTAATGGGCATTTGCCCACACTACCCTTCAGTTTAATTAGTATATTTAATAGAAATTCTAAATTTTTTAGTATACAAAGTGAAAATATCCTGTAATTGGTAAGTTAGCAACAAAATTTTAACCATAATCCGTAATTTCATAAAGCTCCAGCTATTTTTTTCCAATTTTCGGTAAAATATGTATATTTCGGAAGAGTCGATAGCGTCGCCAAGGTTTTGATATCGTATATATATTTATAAAAGGTGTCTAAAACTCCCTTTTTTGCTTAGAAACACAGGTAAAGCAATTTAGGTAAACCAAAAATTAAAGGCTCAAATTGGAGCCAATTTTTATTGTTTTTCTAGAAAATTTTTGACAATTATAAAAGGGGTCGATCGAAAATGTGCCTTTTTTGATCGATTTGACATGGAATAGCCCAACAGTATTATAAAAACACAAAATTTTCTATATTTTCTTTCAACCCCTATCCCCCCAACCCTTTTTCCAATTTATCATCGCTATATAGTTGAGTAGTATTGTGATACTGCATTCTACATATTTTTCTAGTATCAAATGGTATTGGAATACTTATGACATATGTATCGATATCTAAAAATAGATACATTTCATATATTTTTATTTTAGTTTATCTTTAAAAAAACATTTAGTTTTATATAGAATTGGCAAGTCGGTCAATTGACCGGTCAAATTCATTAAATTGATTAGAGGATAAAAAAGCTAAAGAAAAAAAAATTAAAATGTTTGAAAGAAGAAAAAAGATATAACATGATCACAATGCTGCTTATTTATTGGGTCCCCAATATCAAGGAAAGCATCTCACTAGTAGTGAATTTAATGATATATGTGATATAATACAAAAATTAGGCATTTTAAAAGGTGATGATGATCAAAGTATTTCAAGTGATATCATAAATTTTTTAAGAAAAAGTGGCCTGCTTAATAAAAATTTATGTGGAAAGAAGTAACTTCAATAATAAACAATCAGAATCTGGCCTCAGGTTAGAGGGATGGGCTTTGCCTACCATGCCCATCATTAGGGGAGTGGCATTTTACTACCAATTCATATACTTGTTCTTCAGAAAGAAATTGGAGTGGCATTTTACTAAATACTTCTCCTTCAGAAAGAAATTGGTCAATTTGGGTTAATATTTTTATGAATATAGAAATCGATTGAAGATCACAACAGGAAAATTAATTAAAAAATATTGAAGAAAATGATAACATCTAATATGAATAATAACAAGATTCTACCACAGAGAGTGAATCAGTTATTGAAATGACAATGAATTTAAAAAAATAAAATTTACTATAGATTCATTTTACTTTATGTACAAAATAAAGTTAATATTGTCTTAAAAACATTTATTTGAATGAACATATTTGATCAGTCAAATATTGGCCAATTGACAGAATAATATTTGACCAGTCAAATATACAACCCTGGTTTTACATAAGAAAAAAATCATCAGTGATCATATCATTCAAATTATTCAAAATTCGAAGAAAAAGCATTGCTCTTGATAAGTAGATATATATGATAAAAATTAAGCAACAAAACCCTGACAATTATCTTCAAACACAGATAAGAGATTTTGCTATTTTTAAAATTTCCAAAAATCAGTAAAACTGCTATTCAATATTGCAAAAAATGTTTTTACTGATAAGGAGATGCTACCTAGATAAAAGATTAGAAGAAATATATTTTAAAGACAAATAAAAATATTTTGTATTAATGTTACTTGCTAAATATAAATATCATAGATATGTTTTTCCATATAATATACAATTATTATAATTTCCTGGTCACTTTTCATTTAAATTTTAATCATTTACTAGCAATTTTTTTATTTTTTTAAATTTGATCCTAGATCATGCTCCTTTTCTTGATAAGATCATAATCAGATTTAATTTTTTTTTAAAAGGATCAACTAACATGCCTGTTAATTGTAGATCCTGCATGATTTAGCTCAAAGTAAATATTTTATTACTGGCCAGGCTAAAAAAAAATATAAATGACTAGACCAATCTCTAGTCAGTTGGATCACAAACACATCATCTTTAATTATTTGATTATCAATGCAATTAAGATAACTTTGCATAATAAAAAACTTTTAAAATAAAAAGACTTTATAATTAAAGGCCAAAAACATAGTGTTTTAAATTAAAAGTATAGTTCTAAAAAAAAATCAATAATTTATTAAAATTATATATATATATATAAATAATTCATTCATTTTTATGAATACTAAAATTTAAAAAAGCATATTTTATTCACAACTCCAAATTTCATAATTTAACTCATTTTTAGTTTTATTGTCCTGTTCTAGTATTTTTATTGTTTAATCATATTATTTTTCATGTACTCCATTTTCTTTGCCATAATGCTAAATAAACAATTTGTTAAGAATAAATAATTTTCTAAGGTTAATTCTAAGAGGAAAAATTATATGAATCAAATTTATTGATGCTAATTTATTTCATTTTGGTATTCTTATTGTTTATTCATTACCTTTTTAGGGCACTTGTCATTATTCTAAATAAACTAAAAATTAACTTAGCAAAATCCCTCTGTAATAGAAACTTTTTATAAATTAGATATAGATATTTTTTTTATATTTCAATTTCTCGAGCATTTAAACATGGACAGGTAACCACAACCTGCATAAAAATTGGTGAATAATTCTAATATATACAAATTTTCTTTACCCAGTTTGATGTGCATAATAATCATGTATTAGCTGTTCCCCCAACGTGAAAAGACAATGGATTTATAAAATGAGGATTCATGTAAAATCTAAATGATATATATTAATATATTATTAGAATTTTCATAAATCATTTTTCAATAGATAAACATTTTGACATTCCAAGATAATAATCTGGCCATGATTTCTATAACTCAATAGTTAAATTTAGATTAAAAATTTTATCTTAAAGTAGTTTTCCATATTTACAAATAGAAAGGATAACATTAATAAAATTAAAAATATTTTGATTATGACAAATTTAAATGTCTTGGCATCTATACATTTAGAATGAAGAAGCCTGCATATACAGTTAAATATGATGCCTCTCTATTATTTTTTATATTCAATAGAGAAATGTTCATAAATGAAATGTGTATGCATTAATGCAATTGGTAAATATTTACTCTTTCAGGTGTAGATCACAAAATTTCCATTTTGTTGGTAAAAATGCGATTGGCAGAATAATGTAAATTCCAAATTTATATCCGAAACTAATGTCCACTATAATAAAACGGGTATACATCATGTATAGGATCTATATACTAGTGAATATACATGGTGCACGCTACAACTCCTGGTGGGTGATGAAATTGCACTTCGTGCAATTTCTGGCGTGGTAATGAATGAATGAATTTGATATAATTACCTCAATCAGGTCCTCTATATAATTCTCAGGCTTGTTAATCGATCCGTTTAAAAAGATCAAATCCCCATCACGATCTTTCAAAAAAACAGGATCAAAATCCAGGATCGTCTTTTTATTTAAAAAAAAGGATCGCGATCATGATCCTTTTCTTATAATTTCTAAAGAAAATTTCTGATCGATGCAAAATTAACTAGTATATAATGAATACAACTGGGGTGCCTATTTTCGGATTACCGCATTCAATTTAGAAATGCCTCGTCAGGTTATGATTAAACAAGTACGCAATTTGGTCAACAATATTGAAAAAGAAAAATGTTGCATAACACTAGATTCTAGAATTCGAGATTTGATTAATAAACACCAAGAAATTTCGGAAGAGAATCAAGATTCTAAACATGCTATGGATATTCGAAGTATTAATTTGGATGATATGCAATTGTCAGAAGATATTCTGCGAAAAGAGTCGAAGCAAGATTTAATATTAAAAAAAGTAGCAATACATATTCAGCAAAGTTGGCGAAACTTTGATCGTCATAAAGATAAAGAAATAGTTAATTTTTATAATCGACGGGAAGAGCTATCTGTCAATCGTAATATTATAGAATGGAATGGGAGATTGGTTATTCCTAATAAATTAAGAAATGCAGTGTTAGGAATGATTCACTGGGGACATCCTGGGGAAAATGTAATGAAATCTATTTTTAGATTGTATTGTTGGTGGCCCAGATGTGATGTTGATATAGAAAATTTTATCAAAATATGTTCTGGATGCCAGAAAAATAGACCATGGTTAGAAGTTGATCTAATGCAGAATACCTCTGCTGATGCTATGATAAAACGACTAAATAAATGGTTTGCTAGGTTTGGAAGAGATTCAATTAGCGATCCCGAAGAAGCTATGACACAGTTAACAACCTACAGATTGGGAGAGCATAGTTCCACAGAGAGATCTCCTGCTAAAATTATGTTTGGGAGGCAATTGAAAACAAGTCTGGATTGGATCCGACCAAATGCCGAACACGAAATAGTAAGGGCCAATGATAAACAAAGCCTTCATCATGATTTATATTCAAAGGAAAGAGAATTTGAAATCTCACAACCTATATGGTTAAATAATGAAAATACCAATGGTTGGAGAGAGGGAGTAATTAAAGAAAGAATAGGACTTTATTCTTATATTGTTGAATCTTCCGAGAAAACATTACGGAAGCATGCAGATCAGTTAAGAAATCGTTTAGTTATCCCAAATCATGAAAGTTCTTTGGAAGTTACAGAAATGGTTGTGCCAGTGAATGAAGCAAATACAAACACAAATACAAACCACATTACGTTGTTCATCAAGAAACCGTAAACCTACAAGAGGTTTATTGAAGAAATTTAATTTTAAAATGTTTGAAGGAAATGTAATAAATTAAAAAATATTATTTATAGATATTATATAAAAAAATAGAATAGAATATTCGAAAATAAATTAATATAAATTTGATGTTAAAAATAAATTGAAATTAAATTAGTAGTCGTATTGTTTATAAATTAGTAGTCGGTATTACTACAATATGGTATTAAAGTTTTCTAAGAATAAATGAATATTACGAGTTCAATTTTATTTAATTTATTTTTTAAAATTGTTTTAAAACTAAAAATATCATGCTTATATAACATGTTACAAACCAAAAATCAATTTACATATTAATAAAATAATTTGTATATAAAAAAATCAATTTTCACAATTTATAAAAAAAAATCAATTTATATAAACATAAAAAAAAAAATAATTTAAAGGTTAGTATTAAATGGTCATATCAACATTCCACCCTTTAAAAAAAACGATCTCCATTCAGGTTTTTCTCGCATGTGAATCTTAACGTGCAGTCAACGTTTCTTAATAGTCATATTGTCATCATTAGTATATTTCATTAACTTTTGCTGTTGAAAGTTTATTTAAAAAAAATATTTTATTATATATATTTTTTTAGTCTTTATTTCATTATAAAATTATAGAATTTTTTTGGGCAAAATTATATTCCTGCTTGGTCTTTGACTAACAAGACTCTGTTCTTGTATTCCTAAATTTTGATCATCATTTCTTCTAAAACTTACAGTAAAAGGTATTGCATTTTCAGTATTTGTTTTCAAATGTGTCGTTTCATCAAGAGGTGTAATAATCGTAGACCTTTTTTTAATTTGGTCTAAATGTCTTCTAATAAATTTGTTTCCTGTATACACTTCAAATATTAAATTCCCATTTTACGTTTACCGTGCCTTTGTTCCAATATTATCCTTGAAGGTTTTATACCAATTTGTCACCATTCATGATATTTCTATTCGACGGTAAACTGCGATTAAATTCATTCACTTTTTCTTCTTGCGGTTTGATTAAATCCCATATGGTTCTTATGGTTCTGTTGAACATCAATTCACTTGTATCTTGTTAGTTGTCGCGTTGTTTGATGTGTTGCGATAATTAAATAAAAACTTTTCTAAAGCTATATCTAAGTCTATTTTATTATTACTTTCCATATTCCTTTTCATGCATATTTTCATGGATCTTAACATTGGCTCACACTGACCATTGAAGTGTTGGTGGTGTAGCGCGGTGAAAATGTGATCAATTCCATGATCATTACAAAATTTTTTGAACAAGCTACTTGTAAAATTCGTACCTTTATCCCTGATTATCATATTGGATATACCAAACTGATTATTTTTAACAATTCTCTAATTGTAGACTCAGTAGTTATATCACTCATCCTTCTAATGATAGGAAACTTGCTAAGTGCGTCAACACATACCAAGAAATTGCTACCTCAAACTGTGCAAAGTCGATGTGCACGCGTTCGAACACTTTTACAGCTGTTTCCCATGGATTTTGTACATTATGAGGATAGTCCGCATATTTATTACACGTATCACAGTTTCTCACCTCCTGACCTATTTCAGCGTTTAGACCAGGCCACCACAAGTAATCTCTCGCCAACAATTTCGTTTTCCCAGCACCAAGATGCCCTTTGTGTAATTCCTGAAATATCTCATTTCTCATATTTTTCGGTATAATGATCCTATTTTCTTAAAAAAGACAATCTTTAATTAAGCTCAGTTCCATTTCCATATTTTTATATATTTTATTCTTTATCTGTTCATGATTCTTTATATTGTTAATTACCTCCATTAATTCGATATCAATACTAGTTTCATGAACTATTCTTTTAAAATTTATTGGTAAGTCTGAAAATTAGTCATCAATTTTTTTATCATCTATCTCTTGTACCATTTCTTCTGTGTTCATTTGGGGTAATCTTGACAAACAATCCGGTACTACATTTCGTTTTCCGGGTCTATGAATTATCATAAAGTCATAAGCTCCCATAGCCAAACTCCATTTTGAAGTCGCATTGATATGGATGAATTATCCTTGAGTCCCTTCGTAAATATATAAACGAGTGGCTTGTGATCTGTGATTATTGTAAATCTCGTACCAATTAAATATTCTTGAAACTTTTTTACCGCGTATATAACAAATAAAGCTTCCCTCTCTATATTAGTGTAATTAAACTCTGATTTTAATAAAGCTCTTGACGCGAAAGCAATAGGTTTCTCTTTGCCATCACATTCAATATGAAATAAGATTGCGCCTAGACCTTTCTTTGAAGCATCAGTTGCAATGCCTATTGGTAGATCCGGATTATAAAAATTTAACGTAGGCGGAGTACTTATCAGTGTTTTTAAGTCGTCGAAGCTTTCTTGATGTGTCCTATCCCATAACCATTTGTCTTTATTAACCATTTTGTATAAGGGATCAGCTATGTCCGCAAAATTACATCAAAATTTTCGATTATAGCTCGCCATCCCCAAAAAAGTTGCCAATTCATCTTTTGTCTTCTGTTTCGGCATGTTAGAAATAGCTTTTATCTTATTTGAATTCGGATGTATACCTTTGTCGTCTATATCGTGCCCCAAGAACCGTAGTTTTTTAAAAAAATATATACTTTTTGCAAAGTTGGGTGTAAGCCCATATTTCGATATCTTTTCGAACACCAATTTTATGTTGTTTAAATGAGCTTCATCGTCGTCCCCGGTAATCAGTAGATCCTCGATATAAAATATTACATCTTTCATATCTCCTAAAATGTTATCCATAGTTTGTTGGAATATTGCGACGAAGTTTTTAAACCAAACGGCAGTCTCGTAAACCTATAATAGCCCTTATGTGTCGATATTGTAAGAAAATCTCTTGATTCTTTGTGTATAGGTATTTGGAAAAACGCGTTTTTAAAATCTATCTTGGTAAATTTCTTACCTTTAGATAATTTTGCGATTAAATTATTAATGCGTGGTATAGGGTACTTGAAATCTTGTAAAGCAGGGTTGATTTTTGAAGTCGGCACAGAGCCGAAGTGAGCCATCGCTCTTATAAACGGGAGTGAGAGGACTAGCCCATCTAACATCTTAAACAGGTTCAATAATTTTATCGTTTATCCACTTTTGAAGTTCTTTTGTTATCAAATCAATTCTAGAATATGGTATACGCCTTGGCTGTATGATTTTCGGTGTGGCATCGTGTTTTAAACGTAATTTAACATAGCTGCGAAGCATTGGTTTTTTGTTAAGTTTAAAATTGCATTACTTAATCAATTCTTGTTTAGTATTATCATAATCATCCTCGACCATATTCACAAATTTATCTGGTATATTCCCAAAAACTGTTATCCAGATCCTTCCTAACAGTGCAATCTGGACTACATAAGCAGTTAAGATTTGACTTTTGTCCTCGAATTTTGCCTTGACTTTGGTAGTTCCTAATACATTTATTGTGTTTCCATCATATCCAGTTAATTTAATATCTGATTTATTTAAGATTTTTACTCCAATCTTTTTCGCGATATGTATCGGTAGGATACTATACTTTGAACCGGTGTCAATCTGCAAAATAGGCATGTCGTTCAAATATCCTGTAACCTTATATGCATCGTTAACTGTGTAATTATTATCGGTATCCATATTGTTTATGTCTAAATTGTATAAATTATATTCTTTTCTTTCTAGTTTGTCATTATCATCTTCTTTTATCTCTTCTATATTTACAGTGTTTACTTTATTTGTATATCGTGATTGATTATTATCGTTGTTATGATATTTACAATTGCATACTTGATTTCTTCCTTGATTTCCAATATTATGATTACGTTATGTCTTTGAATAAATCTTGAATGGTTATAATGTCTGTTATATCTGTAATTATAATCATTATTAAACCTATAATTATTATAGTTATTGTTATTATAACTAGCTCTATTATCAAATCTCGAAGAATTATTGTACGATCCTGGATAGTTTGCTCTGACGTTGTTGTATAATTCGCGTTATAATTCTGATACCTAGGGTTGTAATTATTTCCTTGATATCTAGGGTTGTAATTATTTCCTTGATATCTAGGGTTGTAATTATTTCCTTGATATCTAGGGTTGTAATTATTTCCTTGATAATTATTTCTTTGAAAATCATGGCCTCTTGTTGTCCAAGGTTGTCTGTTATCGTAATTAGATTGTAAATTTTGTCGTTCGTCATGGTCTCCATACAGTGTCTACATGAGCGGGGGGGGGGGGTAGGAACAGTTTGCATCCTAATATCTATAAAGGGGTAGGGGGTAGGGGGTAAGTGGTAGGGGGTAGGTGGTAGGGGGTAGAGGGTAGGGGGTAGGGGGTAGGCATTTTGGGGGGTAGCCTATAATAATCTAGAAAATTTTCCATTACATTTTTAAATTATCTATGGGTAACATTTTGGTATTTTTAGGGGGGTAGATATATATTTTTGAGGGGGGTTTGCATCCAGTGAATATACTGTCATGTAAACGCTGTCTCCATATCTCTCCAATTGTTATTTTTTTTATGTTTTCCTGCCTCTTTGCCTTTCTACATGTTTCACGGTTGTATCATCTTCTGTTTTTTTGTTAGAAATATTTTCAACTTTAGCAATTATATTTTCTTTTATTTCTAACTCTTCAAAATCATCTCTTAAAGTAAGAACTTCTGCTAATGTAATGTTTTCTTTTAAAGTAATTTTCTGCCTAATATTTTTGCTGATTGATGAAATTTTTACTTTTTCAATAACTCTACTATCACTTAGCAAACATTTATTTTTTTAAATGCATAATCTATTTACCCAATTGATGTAACTTTCATTTTTACCTTGTACAGCTGCGTTAAATAATAAGTTGGAACTTGTAGATTTCCTCGGGTGTAATAACCTAAATTTTTCAATCAATATCGATGGATTGATGAAGTCGGTAGGTGAAAATATCGATTTGAGCTTGATATATACCTCATCTGGTAGTCTTCTTGTAAAGGAACCTGC